CCCTGGGACCACAGGAACTTGATCCTTTGGAGGCCCTGGGACCACAGGAACTTGATCCTTTGGAGGCCCTGGGACCACAGGACCTTGATCCTTTGGAGGCCCTGGGACCACAGGACCTTGATCCTTTGGAGGCCCTGAGGTCGCAGGAACTTGATCCTTTAGAGGCCCTGGGACCACAGGACCTTGATCCTTTGGAGGCCCTGGAACCAGAGGACCTTGATCCTTTGGAAGTCCCAGTACTTTGGGGCTTCGATCCTCTGGAGCCTCTGGGACCACAGGACTTTGGCCTTTCAGAAGCCCTGAGACCACAGGACCTTTATCCTTGTCCAGCTCTGTGGTTACGAGAGCTTTATTCTTACAGGAATCGTCAGTGGGTTGGACCGGGCTCCTGCAAAGGAGAAAGAAGTGGTCACTATGAGGCTAGAGTTCAGGCCAGGGATAGGGCAGAGCACAGATTGCCTGGTAAGACTTGGCCTAGTGGAGCCTGGACAGGGTAGCCCTTGCTGGAGCCAGGAGACTCTGGCTTCCATGTTAGTACAGAACATGGGGTAGAGTGAAGGGGACGCTCAGGGTCATTCAGTGTGTTTGCCAATTGATTATAACCTGCACGTGGCATGGGGAGGCCCAGGGGGATGATGGCAGTGCTGCAGCTGGACTCAGTGTTGTCCAGCGGGCATTCCAGCAGCCCATTCACCCCACACCCCACCCAGGCCCCTACTTCCTCCTCCAGGATTACTGGGCCCATCTTGGGAGCCCATCCCAGCTCTCTATTCAGATGACCCCGTAGGTCAAGCTGCCCTTATTTTCAGGGCCTTTTAAGGTTCCTTTCCCTCCCCATACCCCTGACGCATTGCTAGGGGCTAACCGCTGGGAAGGGCAAGGGGTCCACAGCATACCAAGGGAAGGGACAGCGGGACAGTGGGAAGTCTTCTTTCCTCCCCTGCAAGTATTTTACCACTGACATGCCTAGAATGGCTGACACATGCTGATAATAAAAACTAGTTCACCTTTTAACTAGTTCCGTTCTTGCTTTAAGTTCTCCTTGGACAGTGCTCTCCATTTTAGCCTACACCACTCCCTCTGGCCCCAACCTGTGGTGGGCAACTGGCTGGAGCTTCCCATTCAGGGAGTGACGAGGCTCTAGTCCTTTCCCTCCATTCCCACTTCCGTTCCTTCTGCTGTCCTTGGACCTTTTCCCTCATGTCTTCATGGCTCTGGGGCTTATTTCCCTGTAGCCGAGAGCCCAGACCTCTCACCAGAGTCCCGCACCTGCCCTACTCCTCAGTCCACCCACACTGTGGAGGGCATGTGACAAACACTGATGCCCAAGGTCAAACACTGCCACAGGCCCCTCCCTAGCCAGTGTGGATGCTCTGGGTTAGTGCACACCCCTGCCTCATGGTCTAGACTGAAAGTTGCCACTTAAGGATGGCATTGCTTAGCCCGCGCCACCAGCCCTTGCAGACCTAGGCACATTCTGCTTCCAAAGCACTTCTTTTCCTACCTCATCTCAGCAACACAGCAGCCCTGTTGAAACACACAAGAAGGATTTTACTACACATGTTAGATGAGAAACTGAGGTCCGCAGAGGGCAAGTGATGTGGAAAGTGGTGGAATTCACGGGGACGAGAGTGTGGGGCCCGTGCAGTCACCCCAATAGTGCCTGGGACACAGCAAGAGCCCAGTATGAGGTAGTTCTTACTACCCTTACACTTCACAATGACAGGGTCTGTATACTGTGAGCCGTATTAGTATTTTGTTAGCTTCTATCAGATTTTTAGAGGATGTGACTAACTAGCTTCTTAAAGCTGTTCTGATAAGACGTCTAAGTCTTAGCTCATGGTTTAATTTCTCTGGGCCTGCAGCTTACCATCTTTTTCATTTGGTGTGGTGATATTTACTCAGAAATTTATGATGATTAGAGAACAGGTACATAGTTACTTTGTATCCTGGCAGGATTAAGTAGTATTTACAATTATTTTTCTATCTACTTAGAAGTAAAGTTACACAAATGTGGACTATCTGTATTCACTCTATCATCCCAATCTGAAGTACTCGGCATCTTGAGCCACCTGGGGACTCAGCCGCAGACAGGGGCACCCACGGCCTGTCTGCCCAGTCCCAGGCAAGACCACGAGAAGCAAGCAGAATCCCTAGAGGGCACTGAAATGCCTCCCATCACTGGCGTCTGGCAAGAGAGAAACAGTAAGAACTGTCCTGAGTACAGTGAAGTAGGACAGCAGTGAGAGGTATCCTCTCAGCTTGTGAGGTGAGCTGGGTGGGGCCATCCTGCTGGACTGATGAAACCCAGGGGACACCAGCAGGTAACCAGCGCTGAACCTGATCAAGGGGGACTGGGCTGCACAAGCTGCCCCTTGGCAGGTCATTGATCAAACAGGCCAGCCTTACATCCTGGAAGGAAGCATGTTTCCCTGGATATTTGTAGTATTGGCTCTCATAACCTGTTCCAAACCTCTGTCTATCATCTATCTATCTCTAATTTATTTTTGAGACAGGGTCTCACTGTGTAGCTCAGGCTGGCCTTGAACTTATGGCGATCCCCCTGCCTCAGCCTCCTGCGTGCTGAGATTACAGGTGTGCGCCACCACACCTGGCCTCAAACTGCTATTTAATGAACACTCTCAATCAGATAGGAGCCAAGCCTAAATTTGCATGAATAACATCATATAGCTTTTTTTTTTTTTTTTTTTTTTTTGGTTTTT